AAACATTTGTGAATTTTTTAAGCTAATTAAAGCTACAAATATAGGTGGGTTGACTGTGGTAATATAGGTGGGTTGACTGTGGTAATATAGGTGGGTTGACTGTGATAATATAGGTGGGTTGACTGTGATAATATAGGTTGGTTGACTGTGAAAATATAGGTGGGTTGACTGTGATAATATAAGTGGGTTGACTGTGATAATATAGGTGGGTTGACTGTGATAATATAGGTGGGTTGACTGTGGTAATATAGGTGGGTTGACTGTGATAATATAGGTTGGTTGACTGTGAAAATATAGGTGGGTTGACTGTGATAATATAAGTGGGTTGACTGTGATAATATAGGTGGGTTGACTGTGATAATATAGGTGGGTTGACTGTGATAATATAGGTGGGTTGACTGTGATAATATAGGTTGGTTGACTGTGAAAATATAGGTGGGTTGACTGTGATAATATAAGTGGGTTGACTGTGATAATATAGGTGGGTTGACTGTGATAATATAAGTGGGTTGACTGTGATAATATAGGTGGGTTGACTGTGATAATATAGGTGGGTTGACTGTGATAATATAGGTGGGTTGACTGTGATAATATAGGTGGGTTGACTGTGATAATATAGGTGGGTTGACTGTGATAACATAGGTGGGTTGACTGTGATAACATAGGTGGGTTGACTGTGATAATATAGGTGGGTTGACTGATAACATAGGTGGGTTGACTGTGATAATATAGGTGGGTTGACTGTGATAAATACGGTGGGTTTGACTGTGATAATATAGGTGGGTTGACTGTGATAATATAGGTGGGTTGACTGTGATAATATAGGTGGGTTGACTGTGATAATATAGGTGGGTTGACTGTGATACATAGGTGGGTTGACTGTGCTAACATAGGTGGGTTGACTGTGATAATATAGGTGGGTTGACTGGATAACATAGGTGGGTTGACTGTGATAATATAGGGTGGGTTTGACTGTGATAATATAGGTGGGTTGACTGTGATAATATAGGTGGGTTGACTGTGATAACATAGGTGGGTTGACTGTGATAACATAGGTGGGTTGACTGTGATAACATAGGTGGGTTGACTGTGATAACATAGGTGGGTTGACTGTGATAATATAGGTGGGTTGACTGTGATAACATAGGCGGGTTGACTGTGATAATATAGGTGGGTTGACTGTGATAACATAGGTGGGTTGACTGTGATAAATAGGTGGTTGACTGTGGATAATATAGGTGGGTTGACTGTGATAACATAGGTGGGTTGACTGTGATAACATAGGTGGGTTGACTGTGATAATATAGGTGGGTTGACTGCGATAACATAGGTGGGTTGACTGTGATAACATAGGTGGGTTGACTGTGATAACATAGGTGGGTTGACTGTGATAATATAGGTGGGTTGACTGTGATAACATAGGTGGGTTGACTGTAATAATATAATAAATATAGGTGGGTTGACTGTGATAACATAGGTGGGTTGACTGTGATAACATAGGTGGGTCGACTGTGATAATATAGGTGGGTTGACTGTGATAACATAGGTGGGTTGACTGTGATAACATAGGTGGGTTGACTGTGATAACATAGGTGGGTTGACTGTGATAACATAGGTGGGTTGACTGTGATAACATAGGTGGGTTGACTGTGATAACATAGGTGGGTTGACTTTGATAATATAGGTGGGTTGATTGTGATAACATAGGTGGGTTGACTGTGATAATATAGGTGGGTTGACTGTGATAATATAGGTGGGTTGACTGTGATAACATAGGTGGGTTGACTGTGATAACATAGGTGGGTTGACTGTGATAACATAGGTGGGTTGACACTTGTTTGCTAAATGAACAAATTAAGTAGGCAGTGTCATGGTGCATATGGCCATAGAAGCCCAGTGACATAGGCCTCTATGCAGTCATATTCGTGGCTTATTGGGGGTGTGGCTTTCAGTTAGTTATTTTTTGCCACCCCATGAGAATGAGTCATTCCAGTGCACTGCTTGTATGTATTCTATCTGATGGTGTTTGCATGTTTAGGTAAAAAGACAAATAATGTCCCTTTTGGAACACTGACAATTAGAGACCATTAAAACATTGATTTTTTTTGCTCAATCTGATTGGGATGTCAACATCAATTTATATGAAGCATCCCAAAATATTTATGAATAATCTGGTGTTTTTTTTATACTGTGGTTTGACACATTGATGACAGATGGTATTGTTCCCTTCCACCCTCTTGGTGCAATATTTCCATTGAGCGCTTCACAGTTGGCTATTTCATAGGTCGTTGCCTCTAAAGCTCCTGTTGAATATGATGTGCTCTAGTCAATGGCTCCACTGCCCCTGTCCCAGGAGTTTGTATTTTCTTCACAAGATCACAGTTTGGTCAACAAATTGGACAACAGCCACGCCACGATGAGACCATTGATCCATCAATATGAAATCACCCTTGCCGAAATAGATTTAATACAGGCAGGTAAAAACTCATCCCAAATACTGTGCTGACTGTCCCTAACCTTTGGCACTCTTTGTTGACTCCATGCTTGCAGTGTGTTGTGTTTAACACTAGAGACAGTACAGAGACAAGAGCCAGTCTAACTCCAGGGGGCGCCAGGAGGAGCTTCAATTCCTCACTGCCTCACTCTATTCCCCTCCCCCTCTTCTCCCCCCCTCTCTGTCTCCCTTTCTTCTTTCACTCCCTTCCCTCCTCACCTCCCTCCCTCCCCCTCATCTTCCCTCCCTACCCTTTCTCCCCTCGCCTCATTCCCTCCCTCCCTTCTCCCTCGTGCTCCCTCCCTCCTTTTCTCTGTCTCCCCCTCACCCTCCCTTTCCTCCTCTCCCTCCCTTTCTCTGTCTCCCCCCTCACCCGCCCTCCCTTTCCTCCTCTCCCCGTCTTCCTTTCCCTCCCCCCTTCTCTGTCGATTTCCCCCTCCCTCCCCTTCCCCACTGCCTCTCACCCTTTCTCCCCTCCCCCCTCACCTGCCTCCCTCCCTCCCTCTCGCCTGCCAACCTACCCCTTGCCTGCCTGCCTGCCTCCCTCCCCCTCTCTCGCGCAGTCTCCCCTCCCCCCCTCGCCTGCCTGCCTCCCCCCTCCCCCTCAGTCTGCTTGGCGCTCCTGCTGCTCACAGCACTGCAGATGAGGCCTCCACGTCTCCCAGTCTGCTAGGCCTCTCTTTCAGCCTCCCCCGCCTCCCTTCAGCCTCCCCCTGCCACTCCCTCCCTCCCTCCCTCCCTGCTGCTCCTCATACCAGCATAGCAACACTGAGCAAGCCAGCAAGGGGGAGGGTGCTCTCGCTCTCTCTCTCTCGCAGAGGGGCAATTTCCCTCCATTTTATTTTCTTACCAGGAGGCTAGAGACTGTCAGACTATCTATGGTATGGAACATAAGCACAAAACAAACATTTGTAGCATAAGGAATTACTCATATATAAAATTATCACTATAACACAATCAAACACAGAGTCAATATGGGACTCAGTCATATTTTTTTTGGTTTGGCACCAGATTGATACACACAACAGCAGATAATGAGCCTCAGCAAAGGGTTAATACAATCATTCTCCTCTGAGTCCAACTGTTGATTTCTTGTCAACCATCAGCATCTCACCCATTGGTGCAAATGCACCAGTGGGTCCACTAAGTCCAGACGCCTCTCACAGACTAGCATAGTTCACATGGACTACACCTATATTCTGTTTCAGGTGAAATATAACAAAATCACAAAGCTTTAGAACCCCGTGTTTTACACACGTAAAACCATGTTAGTAGGTTGTGATTTACTGAAAGATTCACTGTAAAAACACCGGAGACAAAAGGATTTATACCACTAGTGACTGTGTACAGCTAGCTCATGGGTTACATTTGGAAAACCTAACTTGCGGTGCTACTTGTCCAGTCTCCATAAAAGGGGCGTGTCACATCAGAGAATAAGAGGAAGGAAAAGAGGTTAGACTAGGAGGAGCACAGTGCAGCACTTTATTGTTCATAAATGCTAAAGTTAAAAACAAAACAAATAAATTGAAGATCACAAATTAAACATACACACAGAAAAGTCATTAATAGCGAATGCGGTCTGTTTCAAAGGCAACAGCAAACGTCTCGGTGGAAGAGGCTAATCAAGCACAGTCTAGACTACAGAGCACATGGCTACAGAGATCAGTCGAAATGGCCCTTTAACTATGTGGGAGAAGGATATGAGGAACTCTTTCAACAGAACCAAAGTTATTACTGCAAATAAAAAAGTATAATCAATCATAGTAAACAAACAGCGAAAAACAAAAGCAATCAATTATGTTCATTTAAATTTGCATTTATATATAGATATATTATTTAGCAAAAATGCTATGGTTTTGTTCAAAAAAATTAACAAAACATACAGAAAACACCAGCCACCAAAGCAACATCTATCATCTAGCGAACCAATGTAGAACATAAGCAGCTAGCTTGTACACAGAAAGAAAAGCAAATATTTGATGAGTACATCTACAGCAACTTCTCCCCAAAAAGGTCTAAAAGACTGTACAAATATACACTAGCTATTCCTGCATACCTGCAATGAAAAAACGTGGGATTTTCTAGTTTCTTTTAAAAGCTAGTAAGTCGTAATGACTCATGTTTTTGCCACAGTTTAACTTGTGGCCAAATGGACAAGAATAAGTACTAATCTGAATGTTCTAGTAAAGTAAACAGAAGGCAAATCATTTCAGTGTTCTCTTTCCTTCTGGAGGTAAAGTATCAACTTTGTTCACAAATCTTACATCACTCATAGTTACTTTATCACTGCAGAGCAGCTTTAATTGGTCTTTGACATGACATGTTTAAACGTCATTGGATGGCTTGTGGAAGTGAAAAGGAAAGAGACTCTCCTTAACACTCTCCTCTTCTCCTTCATGTCACCATTGACCATTTCCAGCTCTAAAGTTCTGGTGAGGCAGAGTTGTTGGCATGGATCAAATGTAACGTCTCTGTGTGCGTCGTGTCATTTGTTTGTGTCCATTGGTTAGACCTGATGCTTGCCGAGTTGGGCCCTAGTTTTTCCACTTCCCGATTGTCCCAGTTTGGCAACAGCTTCCTTCCCCTTAGCCTGCCTCTCCAGCAGCACTGAACCATATCCATTCTCTACATGACCCTCTTCCTCCTCTGACCCATCCTCCATATCCTCTAGGTCTGAGCTGGAGTGGGCCCCTGTCCCTACCACCTCTCCCTCTCTCCCTGCAGCCAGCCTGTCATTACCCATGGAATTCACTTCTACTGGTCCCGTTTCATCATCACCATCATCATCCATTTCATCCTCATCGCTGTCTGAGTCAATAGCGATTGGTTCTGAGAGATCCTGAGGCCCTCTCTCTTTTAAGGTGCTTCCGATTGTCTTGATTTGGTCGCTCTTGGCCCCACAGTTGGGCTGGGTTGTGGCCCTGGCCCCACTGCCAGACCCTGCTGGCGTAGCCTGCTGGAGTGTGGCACCACCGTTAGCCACCGCCCTCTCCTCCATGCGCTGGATGGCCTGCTCAGACCGCCCGATGCACGTCCTAGACGTCCGCCTCTCCACTGTCTCTCCACTGTCCCCTTTGCCTTCAAACAAGCACTCAGGGTCAAAGGTCAGTTCGTGGCTGAGCCGGCTGATGTCCTGCATGTTGAAGCCCAGCAGCACCTCGGCCTTCTGGGTCTCACAGTCCCGCGTGCATTTCCTCCTGCGGTTGGTGAAGTGGCTGGAGATATCGGACTTCCACAACCACAGACTTGCGGCTAGCTTTTCCACCTCCCTACGCGTTGGGTAGGGCTCGCAGTTGAAGTACTGCGATAGGAAGGCTTTCCGCGCCTCGTACGACTCATCCTCGTGACCTTTGGGGTCAAGGACCAGGTTGACAGGGTCGTCTGGATTCTCTACAAAAGCCGCGGGGCCCTCCGGCTCTCCAGGCGCCAGCTTACGCTGCTTTGGGTCATTAGGGTCACAGTTTTCGAAGCCGGCCCGTTTGAGGCTAGTGCCCTGGGCCTGAGAGACCCTGGGGGAGGGCGCAGGCCTGCTGTCCTGCCCGTTCTGAGTCTTGCCCACACCGCGGCAGTGCACCAGGTGCAGTGTGATGGTGGAGGCTGTCATGTTGCTTGTGTACACACCCAAGCAGTGGATACATTTGTAGGTTAGTTTTTTCTCCACCGGGTGCACGGTTTGGATGACCTGGTGCCTCTCCCTCAGATGGTGTGCCAAAGCATCAGAGATGGGGCCCTTGAGGATGGAGAAGCACAGCGGACACAGAGTCTTGCCCACGTCTTTTTTGTACGGCACGGCCGCCTGAGGTGCACTCTTGGCAGGTGAGCCCTCTTCTGAATCAGAGGGCATCTTTGGGGGTTGGCTGGGCACGGTCCTCTTGCCCGTCTGTGTGGACGATGAGGCACTCTGGGCATGGAGGGCCACAGACTCATCTGGTGCGTCTCTCATGTTGTAGGTAGTGACAATCAACTGGACGTTCTTGGGGTTGCCCTGCTGCAGGGTGAGGTCGAAAGTCAGAGGGGAATCGGTGCGCGGCCCCACCGCCTCGTCCGGGTGGGACTGTCGCATGTGTGCCACAATCTTCTCCACGTCGTTGAAGGTGGCGCGGCAGTGTGGGCAGGACAGGCCGTGGATCAGCATGTGGTTGAGGAGTGTGTCGCTGGGCAGGTAGCGGTTGCAGTACAGACACTTGCTGGTGAAGTTGTGGATCTTCATGATGTAGTTGGCCACGGCAGGGACCTTCTCCGCCTTGTGCTCCTTCTCAAAGTGCGAGCTGTACACATTCTCAGGGAAGAGCTCGTTGCAGATGGTGCAGATCTTCCACTTCTGTGTGTACGACGTGCCCAGGACAGAGCTACCCCCCTTCCCCTTGGCCGTGACCGAGGCTACCGTAGCGGCAGCCGCCTGGACTCGGGAGTTGAGCGTAGACGAGGAGGAACTCACCACTATGGGGCTCCGCAAGCCACCAGGGAGGTTCTGTTTGGCAGCCTGAGAATGCTGGGGCACAGACACCTTTGCGTTGCCAGGCAGAGTGATTCTCACCTGCTGCACGCCTATAGAGAAGGATTGAGTAGTCCCGCTTTTTAACCCAAACGCCCCCTGCTTCAGGTGAACCCCAGACAGGAGTCCTGTTGAGCTCAGGCCTGACTTTGGGATGACGATCCTGCTGAGGTTCTGGGTAGAAACGGAGCGGACTCCCCCCACTGTGGTGGTCACTAGCTGACCTTTAGGTCCTACCCCGATGACAGTCTTCTCCCCAGTCTTCGGGGATACCATGATGACAGGTTTGGCGCGAGGCACCACCACGTTTGTGTGACCAATCATGGCGGTCACCTGGTAACCGATGCGCTCGTGGTCCTCAATAACATGCTGCACCAGTGCCTCATAGGTACGTGGCAAAAAGAGGCAGCGCTTGCAGTGGAGGGTGTTGCTGTTGGCGTTAGCATTGACATTGGTATTGGTATTGCTGCTGCGGTCTGTGTTCCCTGTGCCCGTGGTGGTGCCTGCTGCGGCACCGTTGGGCGTGGTCTTTTCCCCAGGCTTAACCAGGTAGGGCTTGGCCACATGCTGAAAGTGTTCTCTGTAGATGTGCTTGCGCACCACGTTGTAAAGCGGGTCCCTGTAGGTGCATTTCTTGCAGTAGTATACGGCCTGCTCGATGCTCTCTCCAGGCCTCTTGCCCAGCTGCATGCCGTCCTTCAGCCCCCCCACTGCCCCCTGCATGCCCCCGGGACCCTGGCGCACCACGTTGTTGGGCATGTGGAACAGCTTGATGTGCGTCTCCAGGGTCTTCTTGTTCCCATTGTAGGTGCAGTAGGGGCAGTTGAGCAGGATGCGGCTCTCAAAGTCCTCACTGTGGACATTGCGGAAGTGGCTCTTGTACGCTGAGAAGAATTTGGAGGAGAAGGGGCAGCCGGAACAGCAGAAAGGCTTTGATCTGTAGTCCTGGGAGACGGGGGAAATAGAGACAGTGGTCAGTCATTTGATGACATTTATTCCATGTAAATAAAACATTTATTGAAGATAAACATACGATAATATCCCAGTTAAAAGCTTTTAAGAGACAAAAGAGCTAAAATACACCCTCCCTCCCTCGGTCTCCCTTCCCCCCTCACTCGGTCTCCCTCTCCCTCCCTCCCTCGAAAATACAGGGTGTTCCAGGGAGCCACTCCAGGCAGGTAGTGAGCCACTCACCTGGGCTTTGGTCAGTGAAGGATCCCACACACACACATCATCCCAGGTGGTGTGCTTGATGTAGAACTCGTTATTATCAGGGACGTAGTCTTTGTAGTCCTAAGGGGAGAGAAATACATGATTAATCACAATTCATATAGAATCAATGCAAAACATCAAGTCTGATAGAGATGATTTGCTAGGAGGAGTCGACCTGTTATGGTTGTGGATGACTGGGCTTGTTAATTATGACATCAAACAGACATGAGAAATTTGAGGCCTCCTAAGTTGAAATGTTACTAGACTGATTGATGAATTAGCTATTAAATGAATGAGCTATTATCTCTTCATTTTTGGAGGGAAAAAAAACAGTGTGATAAAATGTGTCAAGGGCACGCTCACCCATGGATAGTAGAACATATCAAATGATGTGCCGCTCACCTCAATGTGGTCTTTACAAAACTCCAGGCCAATGTCTCCCAGAACCCGCTTGACATTTCTCCTGGCTTTCCGTAAGCTGCCCAGGTTGTTGACCGGGAGCTGGAACATTCTGCCCACCTGGAGAAGGGAGGGACACAGGTAGGTGGACAGGGGTGAGCAACAGGCGAGGTCAGGGGTGTATTCATTAGACGAAGACCATAGCAAACAGTTGCAAAACGTTTAGAAACAGAAAACGTTTACTCCAAATGGAAAAATGTTTTGCAATGAAAACAAGAGTTTCTATTGGACAAATTCAGGTAGGTCCCGCCCTGTTTCATTCTGTTTGCTTCTGTTTAGTTCCTAGTGAATACACCCCAGGTCAACATATGAACTGATCATTGTTGTAGAGAGCAGAGTTAAGCAGACCCAAAAGAAAAACCTTAGTGTCACCCTGGATGATGGAAACACACTTCCAAAAGAATAACACTAGAGCTAACATTAACATAATCACTGGAGTGACTCTAGTGCTCCTATGGAAAAACGCCACCACAACAGTACCTGCTTCCTGTCAGTCACCTTTCATCATAAAACCATCAGTGGTTTTCCTCAGCTGCATCACTCGTCAAGTCTATCCTTTATGACCCTACTACCACCTTTATGCGTCTGGGCTGTTTGATTTGTTATATTCCAGTCAATGCTGAACAATGGAAACACTATAGAATTGATTCTCTACTCAGGTTCAAAGGTCAGGACAAGAAGCTTTAGCGACAAGCAGCATAAGGCCAAACACTCGTCACCCATCCATCCATCCATCCACCTATATGAGCTGAATGCTGTCTGGCTGCCTGACTCCCTCGCTGAGCTGAATGCTGCCTGACTCCCATGGCTTATAGATGGCGCTAGAGGACAGCTCTGCCTCCATTATGTAAGGCCTCCATTGCTCTGCCTCCATTATGTAAGGCCTCCATTGCTCTGCCTCCATTATGTAAGGCCTCCATTGCTCTGCCTCCATTATGTAAGGCCTCCATTGCTCTGCCTCCATTATGTAAGGCCTCCACTGCTCTGCCTCCATTATGTAAGGCCTCCATTGCTCTGCCTCCATTATGTAAGGCCTCCATTGCTCTGCCTCCATTGCTCTGCCTCCATTATGTAAGGCCTCCATTGCTCTGCCTCCATTATGTAAGGCCTCCATTGCTCTGCCTCCATTATGTAAGGCCTCCATTGCTCTGCCTCCATTATATAAGGCCTCCATTGCTCTGCCTCCATTATGTAAGGCCTCCATTGCTCTGCCTCCATTGCTCTGCCTCCATTACGTAAGGCCTCCATTGCTCTGCCTGCCCCGTTTTCACAGAATGGCGCCTCCTATTGAGTCAGCATCAGAGCACAACATTTACAATGAGTCTGCAGGGGAGTGGGGGCTGGGTGGGTAGCTGGCAGAGAATAGCCCCTCTCTACAGCTGACAAGAGTTAGAGGAGGAGAGGAAGAGGGGGATAGTAGTAATCTTAAACCTTAGGCCTAAAAACGAAAACCATGTCCTCTCTCTAATATACAACTGAGTTCTGCCTGTCCTTCTAAGCATCAATGATGACATTTCCTCTGGTCACCTCTGATCCTCCAAACTCACATTGCTTACCAAAACAAAAGTTGATTGTATCAGTCATACCCTGTCAGCAAAGGGTCATCTATGACCATAAACACCAAAGGAAGAGAGTTGGCATTTAAGTAGAACCCCTAGCTAAATGACTGAAAGGTTCAAATCAGGATCACCACCGCATTCTTTCTCCTGATTGCTCTCACACTGGGACCATGAGAACAGATGGTTGAATCAATAGAGGGTATAAAACTAACCTCCAAGACAATGTCGACACCATACATAAATTGCTGGAAACACTGTTTCACATAGACATTGTGTTAATTGTGAGAGGTGAATAAAGGAGGCGAGACTACTTTTTCATCTGACATCAATTGTATTTCGACACTCAAAATCAAACCTGCGATGTGCGGATAACAACCCCTTGTCACCTAGCCTATCTATACACACACACACACTCACTCTCGCTCTGTGGGCAAGTTGCTGAATGAGTCAGGATAACGTTACCAGGCTAGAAATTGGAAGAAAAATACGGTTCCATTTGATAAGGGAAGGGACCTAATATAGGTCAAATGTGGCTAGTAATAAATAGCCAGGCGAGTAGGGGAGGTTACTCACGAGCTATCACCATCTCCCCACTTATCAATGTGGTTAAGGCTTTGATTGAAGTCAATGATTGATATTGTTTAATGTCTATATCTGGTTGACAAATGAAAGAGGATATAAATATTTCTAACACGATTACTACATGCATCTTACCTCACGGTTTTACGGCCAAATAACATCTGATCTGGTAATATTTTCACTAACGTTAAGATCGATAGCTGATAGTAGCTTGCTAGCAGTAGCTAGTGAGCCACCACAAAGGGAAGCGCACGTAAAACACGGGGAACTAGCGCGCTAACGTTAGCTAGCAGCTGCTAACTGAGTATTAGAAAGGTGCCCCGCATGAGCTCTTCAGTCGGTGCTGATTCTGAGCGCCACTCGGTGCCCAAGTTTAGCGAGCCAAAATCGGTGTCATGTTTACCGACAACTTATGATATACGCGATCATAATATTCCACATGATGTTTCATTTGTTATCCTCAATGATCAATCCATGTCATACTAGAGTATCAATTTTTTCCCCGACCGTAACTATGACCGAACAACGCATCATCATAACGTTACCGTAGCTAACCCAGTTAGCTATCACTGGTGTATCCTAACTAGCTTGGTTGTCTGAAAAGCGGAGTATGAGGAGTTTACCTGGTTTGAAATCCGGTGTTCCTGTTGTAGTAAATTATATAACTTCAGAGAAACAAGGCACTCTCACTTTCCCTCCTAGTCCTCCAGATAAGCAGCTGGGGCTAACCGCCTTGCAGTCTTCTCTCCAAGCGGTCACACCACACCGAGAGAGGAAGCTCGACTCCTCTCACTACTATCCGACACAGACTATCCTTCTCGGCTACCGGGGATGAAGTGCCACTGAAACTCATTTAGTTAGCTAGATAAACATCTAGAACGCCCATTGTAGGAAAAGATAGCGTGGCTAGCGTTGTAGTAAATATTACGAGGAACCCCTCATCCAAAAATGTGTTAACTCTGTGAATGTTCACTGATAACGCGCTCCCATCTCTTCCTATAGAGACAATACAACCCTAGCCTGGAAACTGCCCTATCCAAAATGGCGCAAATGAAAGGGCGGAAGTGACATATGTTTGATTAGCATAAAAAGCTCATCTTTATATCCATATGAGTCGAGACTTATACAACTCAATTAGTGTGTGGTAATCAATTAGCTATCTATGCTCATACCGTTCAAGACAGGCCTCTGATTCTGGCCTTGGTCGTTCTTCCACGTCTGTCAGGGGCAAGTAGTTTCTATGCCTGAGGGACTGGGGTAAACAAGCTCGAGCTGTATTTACCAGATTCAACCAACAGCAGGCGCACTCTAGTTTAGCATGGCATGAACGCATGCGTTATAGGACTACATCTGGCTTCCTACACTGCAGAGGGTCGGATGTATACAGTGCCTCAGTACTCACAGTGCCTTTGCACTTGCCCAACGTCAGAGTGCTATGAGAACAGTAGGTGGCGCTGTTCTATGTTCCCATTACACTAAACTCACCGGGACTACTTTCCCGAGAGTCTGGGGCATTTCCCAAGCCTGAGGGCAAATTGTTCTCTGCCCATCTTGGCATGGGCCCCTGTGAGATTGGGGTGGTGGTGGGATGGAGGGACCATATCATGTGATAGATTGATGGGTGATAGATATGGCCTCCTTCATGGTCTCATCTTTTTTATGCTCAAGGATTATTTCTTCCCAGGCAGCGAAAGCAAGGCCATCCTTGACTTCTCCCCATCGCACCATGTTCTGGGCAGTACATGCCAAACTAATATCATCCTGCTAGATTGGGTTTGATCTGAATTTTACATATTTTGTGAGAACTTCAGATCACTGGGTAAAGAAAGAAAATACTTTTACACTCACTGTCTGCTCCAAATTGTGTCACAACTAACTATTGATGCAGCGCAGGTTAAACAATGCGGTCAATTAGCACACTAACAATGTGTATTGTATTTGTTGCTGCCTATGCACATTTGACAGTTCACATAGATTCCAACGAAGGAAACAGCCATGCAGCGACCAATTCAACATATTAGGAAATAATGTAAAGTATTTATTACTATTTATTTTTTACAACAATCACAGGTCTCTCAGTTTAGGGTGAATACAAAATCTTTGAAAAATGTGAAAATAAGTTGATCCATCTATAAGAACACATCAGAAGGAACTTGTGACTGTTTTTACCTGGACTTATGTTTCAAAATCTGTCTGTTTGGAGCACAGGAGGTTGGTGCCACCTTAATTGGGGAGGACGGGCTCGTGGTAATGGCTGGAGCCGAATTGGTGGAATGGTATCAAATACATGGTTTGAGCGGGGTCACTCACCACCTTCCGGAGACATTTGAAACCCCACCTCTTTAAGGAATACCTGGGATAGGATAAAGTAATCCTTCTACCCCCCCCGCCCCCCCCCCCAAAAAAATAAAATAAAATAAAATAAAAAAACATATTGTAAAGTGGTTATCCCACTGGCTATAGGGTGAATGCACCAATTTGTAAGTCGCTCTGGATAAGAGCGTCTGCTAAATGACGTAAATGTAAACGTAAATGTTTGATGCCATTCCATATGCTCCGTTCCAGCCATTATTATGAGCCGTCCTCCCCTCAGCAGTCTCCACTAGTTTAGAGATACATTTAGAGTAGAGGAAGGGAAGATTGAGTATTCTAATTTATTACCATCTGTGCTTTTCTTGTCAATAATCAACTACTCATAAAAAAGAGCGTAGTCTGTCCATTTTCCTGACTCTTATTTTGGCTAATTACTGCACTAAGACCCTTACTGAATGACTAAAAAACATCACATAAGCAGTGCTGCTGAGTCCTAGAGCATCATAAATCATGTTGTCGCGAAGAGAGTAAGCAGTCCTTTCAGGAACGACACTATTTCATTTCCTCCCAGTTTTGACTCCCCATAAACACGATCCACGAACGAAATTGGAACCTGTTTGGAAGACAGAAAAAGTATAGTTTAACTTACATACAACCTATTGACATGACAAACAGAGCGTTCAAAATGGTACAACAACACAAAACACACAAAGGGTTGAAAGTCCCCACCTCTCCAATGGTGTAGTTCAGCTGTCTAGCACGGACAATCATCTCCATCTGAAAGACGTAGCCTTTGGACACACACCGCTCCACCAGACTCTCCAGTACTTCCTTCTTGTAGAGCCTGATGTCACCATGCATTAGAACAAACACAACGTGAGATAACACTCACTACGTTGCTGTCGAATGAAAACATCTCATCTCCAAAACAGAAACTTTTCAGGAAATTGAAAAAACGGCCATATTTTCCCATTAACAAGCATATAATTACGAAACTTCAGAAGCTATTTTGAATAAATTTTATTGGTCCTGTTCAGAGGACTGCTTTCAAAAATGTTTTATTGACATAAATGGAGTTACAAGGTTTTCATCTGACAGTGACTAATAGCTCACTGATAGAAGCTGATGTGCCAGTATGTAAGTGTGATAACTGTACCTGCTGTTCTTCACACTTATTTACATTTTGCCACTTACCTGAAGCTGCCAGTCAGGTCTGATGCCCCAGGTCTCAGCAGCACCTGTGTGACATAGTTAGCTCCCCGACTGTAAGAGAGAGAGAGGGAAGGACAAAACGAGATGAGGAAACTTGAATATTTAATTAAAGTTTGGTGCTTGCTTTGTGTGCTAGCACAAGCAGGATAACTGACAGCCAACAATTTTAATGTAGCAGAAGTGAGAGCGTGCCACTGCAGTCACCTGATGAGTTTCCTGCGCAGGTCCCAGCCGTATACGCCCCCGTCTCCTCTGTATCGGGTGCCTGACACCAGATCATACCCGCCTTCTCTCTGTTTCCTTGGAGACAAACACATTCACATCAGCTACTTGGCAACAGACGATCATATGGTAGAGATGCAGTGGGCTATTGAACGTGTGGATTTCAGAAAAATATTCACATTTTTGTATAAATTAAAATAGATGACTTACTCTATGAATTCTGGAATAAATTTAGGCTGTAAACAAAGGCAAAATGGATGTATTTTAGCATGCATGCAAAGGATTTAAAAAGACAATTCTGTCTATGATGCATTCGTATACAAATAGGCCTATTTAACCAAGCAAGTTTTATAACACCACAAGTAACCTCCTGAATAATAAAAGGAACTAAAAATAGTATTGGACTAAAACATTGTGAATATTGAATGTACAGGGTCCGTAGCCACTATCCCACCCTGTTCATCTGCTATTGTATTGTCCCCTCCAGATATATAGAAGATCCACTCACATGATGGGAGAGGTCTGCGTCCATTATGAAGACATAGTTCCCTGTAGCATGTTTGATGCCATGGATGTAGGCAGTACCTGTATGAAGAATCAAATGACATTATCAGACGTGTGTGTAGAGTGTCTGAGATATTCTTCTAAATACAGATGCAACACTGTGTTCACTTTAATTAATGAGTATGTGACACTTGCCTAACCCTAGTTTCTTTGCTCTTGGTCGAAGGAGCTGGAGAAAAAACCCAACACAGAGCAGAGAAAGAATGAGTGTTGTGTTATGTCAGCAGGTATGTGAATGTCAAATTACAACTACTAATATCTATTCCAATCACTTACTATCTTGTCCTCTCCGTATATCTTCTGCAGTTGTTCTGCCACCTCAAGTGTCCCATCTGGACTTCCATCATCAATTACAATAATCTCATAGTTATATCCACTGCAAATAACAAACAGATGTTTCAACTCAGCACACAACAAATAATATGCTAATCTGACAACTGATTAAAACAGGGACTTTACAATTAACTATCATTGTTCCAGTTATAGCTTCAGTCAAAATGTATTCATTGGCCCTCCTGTAGCTCAGTTGGTAGAGCATGGCGCTTGCAACGCAAGGGTTGTGGGTTCGTTTCCCACGGGGGGCCAGTATGAAAAATTGATGCACTCACTAACTGTAAGTCGCTCTGGATAAGAGCGTCTGCTAAATTACTAAAATGTCAATTGGATCACTAAAAATACAAATGTGCAAGATCTGTTGAAATGGAGTTTATTTTTATTTTACCTTTATTTAATTAGGCAAGTCAGTTAAGAACAAATTCTTATTTACAATGACGGCCTACACCGGCCAAACCCGGACGACGTGTGCGCCACCCTATGGCCGGTTGTGATACAGCCTGGAATCGAACCAGGGAGTCTGTAGTGACGCCTCAAGCACTGAGATGCAGTGCCTTAGACCACTGCATTAGTTCGCTTACAAGATTTACTCTTTTAAAGGCACAACATGTAAAATGTCATTGCAGTCTTTGATGTCTATGGAGTACAGTGTTGCTTGTTTAAATAATTGACTGGCCCACCCACAACTTCCTTTTGTTGTTATGAAGAGGTAAGGCATTTGTAATAAGCTCATTAAGGTATTTATAAGTCATATTCTGAAGAAAAAAAACAGGGGGTATTTCATAAAATGATATTACAAATGAGCGGCTGGAAATCTCAACAACAGATTGTTAAAGTAAGCCATTAGCTGTCCCCTGGCAAATCAGATGTTTAGTGACAGCTCATCACCGATTGTGGGCTACAGATCTTGTCATTCACTCTGGGCTAGAGCTTCTGTAACTAATGACTTGAAACGACTACTAACCTTTCACCGAAGTACTTCACCAGTAGCCACACAATAAGAGGTAGGTTTTCACGTTCATTGTAAGTTGGCAACAACACGGAATATTTATCACCATTTACCCGGCTTTGCTGCGAACCTTTTCGGCTTGCCATGTTGGAATGTTGAGCCGGATGCGGGTGCTCTCAAAAATATCCACCCATGCAACAAATTCTTAAAATAATGGTTCCTAGGAATATAGCTACCACTAGGTGGAGGTATTGCAACAAATAATACGTCTGTTGATTGGAGATATTGGATAATACTGATCCTATTCAACTGCCAATGTTATTCCCCAGTAACAGTAGCCTATTTAATAGTATTGTCTTGCAATAGCTACATAATATAATCATTATCTCATTGAAGTAAAAACTTGCCCACTGTTTGGGGATGAAGAAAGTTTGAACCAGTGCACTTTTATAGACACTCTCCATTGCCATCCTGCTGTAGAAACATTTAGACCAGGGGTGTCAAATGTCCGGCCCGCGGGCCGGATCAGGCCCGCAAACGGGTTTAATCCGGCCCCCGAGATGATTTTCTAAAGTATAAAAATGAGCTGCAATTATTCAATAAAATAAACTGCTGTTCCAATTGTGTCCACTGGATGGGGCAATAGCAATTGTGTTAAGCAAGCAAAGTGTTTATACCGCAGTCCGGATGAGCTACTTTGTTTTGCCCGTGATATTTATTACGGCTTCTACTTTTAACATTATGTGCTTTGGCACCCTCACTGCCCCAATATGTCTCTGTCAAAAAAGAGAAAAGTGGACACAGAGTGCAAAGTGTTCCAAGAAAAATGGTAATCCTCCTATTTAATCACGGAATTGAATGGGAAAGCTGTATGTTTGGTGTGTTCACAGCATGTTGCAGTGCTGAAAGAATATAACCTTCGTCGCCACTATGTGAGTCTTCATGCCGACAAATATGACTTTCAAGGACAGCGGAGAAGAGAGAAGGTGAATGAACTGTTGGCAGGTCTGAAGAAACAGCAGTCTATGTTTACTCACAGCCAAGACATCAGTGACGCTGCAGTGAAAGCTAGCTACCTCATTGCTAATGAAATCGCAGTGGCTTCAAAACCATTTAGTGAGGGTGAATTTGTAAAAACATGCATGATGAAGGCAGCGGAGATTGTGTGCCCTGAAAAGCGCCAGGCTTTTGCAAATATCAGCCTGACAGGAAACACAGTTGCAGACAGGATTTCCGATCTTTCAGTGGATTTGGACAGCCAGTTGAAGCAAAAAGTAAAGTCATTTATTGTGTTTTCGGTTGCAATTGATGAAAGCACGGACATTACAGATGTTGCACAACTGGCCATTTTCATCCGCGGAGTTGATGACACATTGACCGTCACCGAGGAGTTCGTGGAGTTGGTGTCGATGACAGATACAACGACAGCAGCTGATATTTTCACCGCACTTGTCGGCGCGCTGGACAGGGTCGGAGTGGACTGGTCCCGCGCTGTCAGCCTGGCTACAGATGGTGCGCCCTCAATGATCGGGAAAAAAGCAGGCGTTGTGACAAAGTTCAGAGAGAAAGTGCAATCTGCAAATGGAGGATGTGATTTTTGGACTTTTCACTGTATTTTGCACCAGGAGGCTTTGTGTTGCAAGTCATAAAGATGGATAATGTCATGAAGGTGGTCATCCAAACTGTTAATTTCATCCGATCCAGAAGCCTGAATCACCGTCAGTTTGACAGCCTTCTCAGAGAGAAAGACCACATCTATGGCCTGCCATGCCACACTGAGGTAAGATGGTTAAGCCGAGGTGCTGTGCTGAGGCGTTTCTTTGATTTACGAGAAGAAATTGAACAGTTCATGGAAGAAAAGGGCAAACCAGTGTTAGAATTTCATTCCGCAGAATGGATGCAGGACCTTTCATTTATGGTGGATGTTACAGAGCACCTGAATAACTTGAACAAACAGCTGCAAGGGCGCAACAAAGTTGTCACACAGTATTATGACAGCATACGTTCTTTCAAGTTGAAGCTGTCATTGTGGGAGACGCAACTCGCCGGTGGTGATGCAGCTCACTTCCCCTGTCTGAAAAATGTGTGCGCGACCCAACATGTGGCAGACATGAAGCGGTTCAAAGATAAAATAACGGGACTGTTACGGGAGTTTGAGCAACGCTTTCAGATTTTTGGTGAACTGGAGAAAGACTTCAACGTTTTTTGCTCGCCATTCACCGTGAATCCCTCTGATATGCCCGTCAGCATCCAACTTGAAATAATAGACTTGCAGTGTGACTCGGATTTGAAGGGCAAATTTGCCGCAGCTGGCTTGGACACATTTTATCAGAATCTCTTGCCAGGTTACCCCAACTTGACAGCCCTTGCTGCAAAACTGTTGTGCATGTTTGGAACCACATATCTTTGTGAGCAAGTTCTCTGTAATGAGCATAAATAAAACAAAGCTGCGCACAAGCACTTGAATCACATCCTGAAGTTGGCTGCCACTCAGGATGTGACGCCTGATATTGATGCGCTGGTGAAAGCTAAAAGATGCCAGGTATCAGTAGTCAAATAAACTATGCAACCCCACTTAAAGTGCTGCATGAGACACCCTGATATAGTTCTGTGATCTGTGATATACTTCTGTGAATCACTGAGGCATTGTGTGTTTGTGTGTTCTTTGTCCTCAGAATTTTCAAATAACTTGATGTGTTTTATGATTAATAGTGATGTTGTGCTTTTGGACACACTGTCCTCAGGCTCCAGCTTTATGTTTTATGTTTTTATCTTGATGTGCTATTCTTTTTAATAGTTTTTATTTTATTTGTATATTTAACCTATTCTTGACTCTGTGGTTCTTGCACTTGTTTGGGGAAGAGGATTTCATTATTTGTATCTACATTTCTGCCTGAGAAATGACACCCTGATATAGTTCTGTGATCTGTGAAACAGTTCTGTGAATCACTGAGGCATTGTGTGTTTGTGTGTTCTTTTTCTTTAGAATTTTCAAATAAACTTGTTTTATGATTGATAGTGATGTTGGGCTTGTACTATTTTGGACACACTGTCCTCAGGCTCCAGCTTTATGTTTTATGTTGATCGTATTAAAACAAAGAAAACAATCTGAAGTTGTTGTTTTTAAGTTATATATACCATGATTTTACCGGTCCGGCCCACTTGGGAATAGATTTTCCTCCATGTGGCCCCTGAGCTAAAATGAGTTTGACACCCCTGATTTAGACTATTTCTGTAAAAGCCAGTCTCATGGTCAAATGCATTCACAAACAGTGCATGAGTAAAAAAAACATGGATGGTAATGAACAGATATACCAATATTTTAAGTGTGAAGGTGTAGCCAAGTATCTATGATCATATGCTATCCATGTTTTTTGTATGTTCTTTTTTTATCTGTGAATTGGCCAACGCTATTAGGCCACACCCGGCCATGATTACAGACACCTGCGTGTGTCCTTTGACACTATAAACTAGTGACCCGCAGTGTTTGTCATTATACCCTGATGAAGACAGCTTGTCTGTCGAAACGTTGGTTATTAGGATATTAAAGTATTGCATCTGAGCTCCTAGAGCAGGGGTGTCAAACGTACGGCCCGCGGGCCGGATCAGGCCCGCAAACGGGTTTAATCCGCCCCGCGAGATGATTTAAAAAAAATAAAAATAAAAAATAAAAAAATGTTTTTATTATTTTGTAAAGTATAAAAATGCGCTGCAATTTTTCAATAAAATAAACTGCTGTTCCAATTGCGTCCACTGGATGGCGCAATAGCAATTGTGTTAAGCAAGCAAACTGTTTATACCGTGGCAGAGCAAGTAGGTCAAGCACGTGCAGCCAATGAGCTACTTTGTTTTGCCCGCGATATTTATTACGGCTTCTACTTTTAACATTATGTGCTTTGGCACCCTCATTGCCCCAATATGTCTCTGTCAAAAAAGAGAAAAGTGGACGCAGAGTGCAGAGTGTTCCAAGAAAAATGGTCATCCTATTTAATCACGGAATTGAATGGGAAAGCTGTATGTTTGGTGTGTTCAGAGCATGTTGCAGTGCTGAAAGAATATAACCTTCGTCGCCACTATGTGAGTCTTCATGCCGACAAATATGACAACTTTCAAGGACAGCGGAGATGAGAGAAGGTGAATGAACTGTTGGCGGGTCTGAAGAAACAGCAGTCTGTGTTTACTCACAGCCGAGACATCAGTGACGCTGCAGTGAAAGCTAGCTACCTCATTGCTAATGAAATCGCAGTGGCTTCAAAACCATTTAGTGAGGGTGAATTTGTAAAAACATGCATGATGAAGGCAGCGGAGATTGTGTGCCCTGAAAAGCGGCAGGCTTTTGCAAATATCAGCCTGACAAGAAACACAGTTGCAGACAGGATTTCCGATCTTTCAGTGGATTTGGACAGCCAGTTGAAGCAAAAAGTAAAGTCATTTATTGCGTTTTCGGTTGCAATTGATGAAAGCACGGACATTACAGATGTTGCACAACTGGCCATTTTTTCATCCGCGGAGTTGATGACACATTGACTGTCACCGAGGAGTTTGTGGAGTTGGTGTCGATGACAGATACAACGACAGCAGCTGATATTTTTACCGCACTCGTCGGCGTGCTGGACAGGGTCGGAGTGGACTGGTCCCGCGCTGTCAGCCTGGCTACAGATGGTGCGCCCTCAATGATCGGGAAAAAAGCAGGCGTTGTGACAAAGTTCAGAGAGAAAGTGCAATCTGCAAATGGAGGACGTGATTTTTTGACTTTTCACTGTATTTTGCACCAGGAGGCTTTGTGTTGCAAGTCATTAAAGATGGATAACGTCATGAAGGTGGTCATCCAAACTGTTAATTTCATCCGATCCAGAAGCCTGAATCACCGTCAGTTTGACAGCTTTCTCAGAGAGAAAGACCACATCTATGGCCTGCCATACCACACTGAGGTAAGATGGTTAAGCCGAGGTGCTGTGCTGAGGCGTTTCTTTGATTTACGAGAAGAAATTGAACAGTTCATGGAAGAAAAGGGCAAACCAGTGTTAGAATTTCATTCCGCAGAATGGATGCCGGACCTTGCATTTATGGTGGATGTTACAGAGCACCTGAATAACTTGAACAAACAGCTGCAAGGGTGCAACAAAGTTGTCACGCAGTATTATGACAGCATACGTTCTTTCAAGTTGAAG